CCAGACTGCCCCGATCTGCCGACAAACAGCTGATCGGCAGAGCGGGGCAGCCATTTAAATTTAAATGAAGCCGCGATTATTTTAATCGCGGCTTCATTTCCCTCTACCGATCTGGCTAATCTACATGCCTCTGTCGACGGAGGCATGTAGTCTAGACATACCCCTAGTGTGGTTACTGGGTACTGCAAGTGGCACTTAGACCACTGCAGCAGTTAAGATCAAGAGACCTCCCCGGCATGGGCTGGGAGCCAGCTGGCTTTTAGCTCAGAGAGTAGAGGCTCCTAGAGTCAGCTCCTGAGATCCCAGGTTCAAATCAGCCTTGTTGGTGGTTACACAGGTCTTTCCAGGAACCTTGTGAGAAGGACTGAGAGGTTCCTGCATGAAAGCATCATGGGGCAAAGTGCTCCAGAGTGGCACTCCATGTGCACAGGCTATTGTGTGATCCCAAGGCCAAGTGTATACAGGGAAAGTTAGAGAACTCACCTGAAGTGCCTTCCCCAGATTTGTCTGAAGCATGGAAGAAGTCCAAGCAGGAGGGACTGGCTCCAGGGTGCTGGCTGGTGCATGTGGTTGCCTGCCTGTCCACCACCTCCTCATCCACAACCCCACCCTCCTGAAGACTGATGCTACGTGGATCCTCACCAGACTCCACTAAGGAGTAACCTCTCCTAGGATAACATCTAAATACTCAAAGTAACAGCATACATGTGGTGCTGCCCTGGAGCATTTGCTTCCTGGCCTTGTGGTAGGCCTGCTGGAGCTCCTTCACCTTCATCTGGACCCGATCGAGGGTACAGTTGTGGCCTTTGTTGGCCACGCTGCAGGAGATGGGCTCTGTTAGTGGCCTCTGGAGGCCAATTAGTTCGAATTAGCAGCACCGGATCATCCACACTAATGCTATTTCAAAATAACAATTTCAAAATTAGTGTTATTCCTCGAGGAAAACAGGAGTACAGATTTTGAAATACCCACGTGGTTATTTTGAAATAGCAGGCTTTTTAGTGTAGATATTCCACTTATTTCAAAATAACTCCCGAGAGCAGACCAGGGCTATGTTAGAGGCTAAATTAATTGCTAAAATAATAGATGTCTTGATGGGAAGGTTATTGAGACTGGTGTTTTGGAATATGTTTGATTAAAAATTATTGGGGTTGCTGTTAAGGCAGGATAATGAAGTTGAAAACTGGAATGAAATCAATTAAACAAATGTAAAGCGTTTGAAAAGGAATTGGCTTTTGAAAGTACATTGTTCGTGGCTGATAGGGGCTTTCATTTATGGACCCTCTAGTGACACATGACCCAAAGGTTTCAAATTTGTTACACTCCGCTGGCTTTAACAAGTTACAGTGTTAGAGCCAGGGGAGTCCTTTACATGGACCCTATTCTTGAATTTCCTCTGGTAGTGCAAAGCAACTGGAAACTTAGGTCTGGTCTGGTTCCCTCAGGACTTTGCACTGGGTATTCACAAATGGGAGGATTTGCCTTCACAAATGTTTTGTACTACCAGGGTGACATAAATGAACTTTAGATCATTGAGATTCAGGTCTCTTCAACTTATGCAGCACTGCTCTGGACAATATTTTGTCACTTATTTGAATAATCCCCACATTCTCCATTCTGCCAAAGCTGCCAGGATCAACACTTCTGGATTTCCTTCTTCCATACCTCAATCCAAATCCCACCCAGGGAAGTGAGAGCAGGAGACAAGTGAGGGAGGAGAGAGCAGAGGCATGCTGTTGCCAGCAGCTTTGGTAGAGTGGAAGGGTCAGCCTTCTAGCACACACATAAAGCCAAAAGTGTCAGCTGCCTCTGTCCGTCAGGAATCCAGAATAAGATCAGGAACCTACAGTTTAATGCAAGGACAAAATAATTAAACTCCAAGGTGACGGAGAATGGCTTTGCTACTGACAGCACAATGCACTTGCCCTGCCTTTCCAGGGGCCTTCCTATACCTCCTGCAATGCTTTGCCACTCTTTTCTTAAGATTCCTGATTCCTCCCTACAGAGGCACAGATGAAAAAGCATCAACCCATAAACATTAACAAATGCCAGAGTTTAGGAGCAGAATGCACATGAACTCCACACATTTCCAGCCTGTGCGGCCCCCAAGCCACCTGGCAGTTGGAGAGCTTTCAAAGCAGGAGGGGGGTAATTTACCATAAATAAGCTCTTCTCTGCAACTGCAGGATCATTTGGCTTGCTAAGCATTAGCATCCATCAGCCATTACTTGCTCCAGCTGCTCCACCATTTCCTGCTTTTCAATGTAATAGCCCCTATTTAAAATGTTTCAGGAAGGTGGGATCATCTCCTCTCCAGTACTGGATGCCTCCCCCCCTCCATTTCATGCTCCAGTGTATATTCTAAATCTGGCTTTGCTACAAGGAGCCACTTCCTTCTTGTGATGGAGGATCCCTGATGATAATTTTTCTTTTTTCAAAGCAATTCAAGGTAACAAATCGGAATAATGAAGGCAGCATCTGTGACTTTCTAATCAAGCTGCAAACTGTCAAACTCAAGGTAATCATTGTCTTAAATTAAAAAAAAACCCTTCCTTCCAGCTAATTATCATAATTAGTACATGAGGGGCCCACTAGTCTTTACCACTTTGAGATATATGAATTCTTTTTTCTGCATTGTTATGCTGGTGTTGCTCATAATTTGTACAACTACTTAACTTAATCTCTGAAGCTCTTGTCCTAACTCGTCACTTTTGAAGAGCTACAGAATACAGTGACTTCTCATAACTCAGAGGGTATGCCTGTGCTATCCAAAGGCACTAAGGAGTGTCATGAGAAGATCATGGACAAGCTCCATATACTTTCAGCATGGTTGCCTCAGATGCAGTGTTCTAACTCAGGCTGAGCCATAAATGAAAAGGCATGTAAGTGAAGAGTTAATTACTTAGCAGAATTAGGGCTTTCCCCGGGCTATGTCTAGACCAGTGGTCCCCAACCATTTGAGGTTGTCGGGCGCCGGGGGTGTGGCCAGTGCCCCCTCCCCCCCAAGTGCCGCGCACCCGGGGCCGGTGCTCTCCCCCCCCCCCCAAGCACCGCGCACCCC